TAAACTAAAACATGACATCTCTGGAATGCAGCATAAGTTTACAATAAAAATACAGATCATATTATAGCTAGTCCATTCACATAAAAGAGCATTCTATAACCTTTGACTTTTTTTTTAATGTCAGATCCTGCCCATTAAATGCATCTGTCTACACTTTCATAAATGAGACTCAAAAAGCCATTGCACAGAAATGTTATTGCTGAAACTTATGATTTAATGACAGGCTATTACTTCAATATATTCCATTTAGCATTATGAATACCATCGACATCTCACGAGCCGATAATGTGGCACCAATTACCAACCTTATGAACTGTTATCACATGGAAAAACAATTACAGAGAATTCAGATTCACACATACAACAGCAGCTTTGGCATTGAACTTTGTGCCATATGCAAACTAAGGCTGACATTTATTCTGGAATGAAGGACCACCACTGGAGTGTAACAAAGAATAAGCTAAATTCAACCGTGATTTACGCCCTCCACAACCTCACTGAAGTCCACTGGATTTCAGATACTGTTAATTCAGTACTAAATTTAGCCCAAAGTAGGCATGCATACCTATACTTTTAGCACTATTTTGAGATGCACACCAAGTTCCGCTCTCTTACTCCCAGAAGGTCTGGATTACAGTACCTGCATATTTAGAAATGCCTCTGTCTAGGAGGAACAGTAGTTTTCTTTCACATTTCTCATGAGGCAAAAGCCAACACTAGTTTACTTTTGTTTACTTATATGCACTAGTTCTCATATTAACATCTTTGAATGAAAGGCCACAGAATCAGTGAAATGCGCCAAACTCATCTGGAGAGACACCTCCAGTCACTAAAAAATAACCAAACCAAACCCCCCATAATTAATGCTTTCTGTTTTGTGTATACACATTACCTGTACACACAATCATATATAAATTAAGGACAAATAGGTAATTCAGTTTAGATAACAATATGCTCATGAAAAAAATTTACATGAAAATTCAGCATTTCAAAGACCTCTTACAGAATAATTACATTAATATCCTTAAGATACTTACAAGAGAGACCAATATTATCAAGATGCAAACATATTTCAAGATCAACAGACTTTGATCTGCATTATGGATTTTTCCACTAAAATATTTCAAAGCAAGCATGCTACCACACCTAACTCTAAAGGAAAGATTAAGAAGACTCTTCAGAAATCATGACCCAAACCTGGATAACATATAAAAGCAAGCTCTTGATACTGTGATAGATACATAAATGTTTTCACAAGCTTCATAATAATAACAAAGCAGCAATAACATACATAACATTGTTCTTCAATTTGTTTTTGTGGGAGAAGGAAAGAGATTCTTAAAAAAAAGGTCATCTATAAAAACGACCCCAATAGAGTATACTGCACTCATTGATCAATGAATAGAAAACAGAATATATGTTTTTGTACAGTCATATAATATTTTTGCAACCGAGAATTTTTTCCATAACACATGTAATCAGGATTCCAACCAACCTGTACTGAAGCCAAGAGAAATGCTATTTTACTTTGAACAGGTACTGCGTTTTCTTCATATTAAAACATATAACTTCAGCAGGTGCTGATATTAGCTTGAAACCAGAAATTAACTGGTTTTGTCAATATTAGTTCATAACATTTGTTTCCCTGTTACACGAGCTCATGGCTAACCGATGAGAATAAATATTACAACTCGGACTGCTATAAGATTCCATTTATTTACGATTACTTCTGCAAGCACTTCCTGAAACAAGCTGAATTTGCTTAAAATTCACATTTTCTTGTATTTTTCATTGACATTGGGATGAAAGACAGACAGCTTTTATTCAATTTGAGAATTAAGCATATCAATTAAGGCTTCAACTAAAATGACTATTATGCAAATAAAAACAATTACAACTAAAATACAAACATAAACTATCCAGGCTAGAAGCTGTGGTTTGTGCTAAATCTCAGGGTGTCAGACAGGCAATGACAATACCAGCTGGTTTTAAGGTCAGAGCACTTAGCACACCTTGTCAGTTGAAGTGGCTGTTTCATGCTCAAGCCATGGCCCTCAAAAATAAACTTACACTGATTACTTGCTCCAGACACGATACCTGTAGTATAAAATTCTGCTGCAAAATCAAGTACTGTAATACTGAAAAGGGGGGGGTCTGTGCTCTAAAGAGCAGTGCTTTGATTTAAGACAAATCTGCTGTTCCTGTAACACAGGCTCTCTCAATACACAAACGCTTATGTCACATATCATATCTATCAGAAACTTTTTCCTTTAAAGAATCAGGGTTAATTTAAAAAAGAGCTCACTTCCTTTTTCTGCTAACGACTCACATTTTCTTTGCAACTCTTTTGTGAAAGCACAGGTTGCTATCCAGCCTCCAATAGTTTAAAAAAAAAAAAAAAAGAAACCTTGATTTTAGTCCTTCTCTTCTTGCTTTGTCTACTAACGTCTGCCAATGATGAGATCATTTCCTGACCACTTAGAAGGAAAGTTTTGTTCCTTGAATCACATGACAGCACGAGAACAGAGCTCTTCAAGTACAGCACAGTCCAAGCTGTTCCAGTCACCAGCTCACCTGGTTCAAGAAGACAAGGAGCTATGGCACTAGCTACTATCTTCTCTACATGCACTGTATTGGAAGGCTAGTATAGACTGATCGTGACAATGACAATTAGGGAACACATTCTATAAATCTGCACAACTCTGATATCTTTGGCTATTATGAAAGTACCACTTCTGTTTAAATTCTTCTCACAATTCTATATATTTGAGACTGTTGTTTATGTAGCTCCAAGATAACAGACTGACTCAAACTTGTAATTAGCACAAACCCTAGCAGCACAGCTACCAGAAGACTAATTTGGATTTAGAGAGAGCTGCTAGGGAAGTCATGCCACTCACGTAGTTAACTCCTCAAAATATCCATGCTCTTGTGATCAGAAGAAACCCACAAACAACCCCATCAAACAAAGGCATGGAAATTATTGTGTATCTCTGAGGTCTGGGAGTAAAATCAGAAAATACAATAAAGGAAGTTCAGCAATGGAACTCATTTGAAGCTGTTTTTAAATGTAGTTATTAGACATGAACGTTGACACAGTCAAGCTTTTGTGAACTTCAAATGGCATGAAAAATAAGTCATTTTCAATTATTCTTTACAGTTGCTTAACTGAAATTTTCATTTTTCCTAGGATACAAGAATGGAAATGTAGCCTGCATCATTATGAGTAAAATAAACAGATGACAGCATTTAATTCTTCTGGTTGCTCATGTTCTGAATAATTTTTAAGAATCCACAATAATTGCATTTCATTGTGCCTGACAGCTGCTTTTATGATAATTTTTGTTCCTGCGGTAAAGAGAACAGCACACAATCAGTGGACAACAATGCAAATGTCCTTGAAAACACTGAAATTCCAAGAATTTAGGGGAGGTCAGCAAGAATTTTCTTATTAAGTGAAAACTGAAAGGAATGAATCCAGAGCCCTCAAATGACCCCAGATACCTGAGGATACGACTTCACAATTTGACCATAAAGGCAAGATGCAGATACTGTGAAATTAGTGAAAGGGCATTTTAGTGCTCTGGGTGCTAGTCAAAACACTGAGGAAATATCCCATAAAACACAACTGTTTCTGAAACATAGCAGGCTGTTTCAAACATTATCAGAACTCACTAGAAAAAAGAAAAGGAAAAAATTATGTTGTCACCTAAAGAAAACAAAAATCTACAAAACCCAAGCTTCTTTCCCAGTTGTGATACATCAATTCACAATTAAAGTCCATTGAAACGGTGTAAAATTATTTGGAAGAAGCTAGGCAACACTACTAAGCAGCTAGTATGGCACAGATCTCTTGATAGAAATCTCTACACAAGAAAATACATCAGTGCTTAGAAGCAGCATGGGCTATGGGTTTCAGCTTATTTCCTTAGCTTCCACCATGCTACTGGGGTATCAAACGATCTTTCATCTGATTGTGTAGCCTTTGTGAATAAGTGTACCTTCCTTTTGCAATCAAGCTACATCTGCTGATAATCTGCACTAGTTACATTATCTCAAATCAGCTTGCTTTAACAAATAAATGTACTACATATGCAAGGATACAGTGACGCTATCATTTCGTGTTGGTATAAGGTATAGCTGATTCCTTTTATTTGCAGCTTTGATACTGATATCAAAGCAGGAATTCTTGTTACATACACAAAAAACTTACACTTATTCCAATTGAGTTTACACCTAGTTATTAAAGCAAGGCTCTAGCTCAGTGTGTGTCACACTTAAGATTCTTAAGACGAAAACAAGAAAAATGAAGAAGTTACTGAATATTTTCTACATTACAAACAAATGGGGAAAACAGCAACAAAGCTGTCAGTTAAAAAAGTTGTATCTCTAATCCTCCATCTGAAAACTTATGTTTAATCCTAAACAGACCATGAAAAAAGAATAAGCAAGCCAGAAGAGCCACATTCATAACTGAATATTTAAGAGGTTTGATAATCTGTTGGAAAGTACACCAATTCAGATTGCTACAAATTCAGAATTGCTTCTTAAAAGCTCAGAGATATTCTGCTGCATGAGATATTTCAAGTATATTATACATGGTTTTCTAAAATAGCTTCTCCAAGAATAAGAACCAAATGAATATATATAATAAGTAGAGAAGTCACTAACTCTTTAGAAGTTCTAAAACCCTCCAGCACATCCTTTGTTCTGTGCAGGTAAAAAGAAAAAGGAAAAAATGTGTGTATTTTATAGAGATATATATACACACATACCCCTCAAAGAAAATATGAAATTCAATATAAGCCTTACAACCCAGAAAGCTCTGTAAGTATCAGTCGGGAATGCTTTGCTCTGTACATCTCATAGCAGGCTACCTGTTTCTACCTAGTTAATTAGGTGTGATTATTCATAAGTACTTCCTTGTATAATTCTTGATATTCTAAAAAATTCATACAACATATTTATGTCTCCCACGGAACGTAAGCTAAATTACTTACCTTTCTTCCGGCTAAAAGCACGATTCATGTTGAAAAAAAAACAATCCAGTCAATGATGTTTCTGGGTTTGGATTTTTCCCCCCCACTTTAACCTGCAGAACAATACACATAAGAAAACAAAGTCCATTACTGTTTTTGAAGTTAGCTCATGATCTTCATATTAAAGACAATGCAAATGATTTTAAGAATTCTGAAATAATTCAAAGAAACGAAAGTGAGATGTGCTTTGCTGAGGAAGAAATTGCAGAACTGAGAAGATTTATGTTGGACTGCCGAGTTTTACTTAACACAAAAAGATATTTTAAAGCTTTCTGTGAGGCTCTTCTCACTGAGATTTCACACACAGAGCAGATGGTATTATATGTATACATGAAAACAAATACCACACACAAATAGTTTGCAAAAAAAGCTTTAAAACAAATACTGTCTACAAGACTCCATAAAAACATTCAGTTAACATTTGTACTGCCCTGTTTTGTGTCATTTAGGCTGTCAGAGTACTTCAAGCTATGCTTTCATCTTCATGTGTGCTTGACATTGGAAAAAAAATTTTAAAAACAATATAAAAACTACTCAATCTAGTGATTCAATACTAAAGTTTGCCTTGTATCAGTGCAACTACCTCTTTGCTCCTACTACATTCGACTGTACAGTAATTTCTGTATTTTCTTCATTTAAACACTGACACACTCTTAAATTCTTATCTTAATTTTTGATTCACAATATTTAGAACTTTATTCTTTACACTTTGCAGCCAAAAAAAAAATCCAACACTGTTCAAAATCACCCCATTTACAGTAGTATAGATTTTCCTTTTTCAACTATATGTAAAGATATTCCCACCACTCTTTTCCATTCAGATCTTCCAGCCAAAAGCTGCACCAGTGCCCTTTCTCTGCTCTCAAAGCAAAGGAAGAAAACCGTAAAAAAAAGAAAATCAGAGCACTTGGATAAAAAACAAGTTAAGCCAGTATTTCAAATGTCAGCATCAAGACGACGGGCAACTTCATTTAACATACTTTACGCAGCTCATGAACACTTTTTTTTTTTTTTTATTAAAGCAGTTATATCCCAATTTCCACGTAAATAGTTGATATTATTCAGATTAGAACATGGGTGCAATTACAGCTAAAAATCACCTCCATTTTATTTTCAAGTAATCACTGCTGTGGTAGGACTTCTTTTCTACACAATCCTGTGAGAATGAAGAAAGAATCTCTGTTTATCTCAGCTACACTGTAGTACCCTAGATGTGCAACCAACCGACATTTGGTCTTTCAAGGACATGTACTAGATCATTTTTGTTTTCCAGATTTTACTAAGTATTTAAGAAGGGAAGATGTAATGAAATAAAGACAGCTTATTCCATCCAGTTATTTTGATATAAAGTTAATAAATAATGCATTCGGCACGCTACACAGTAGTTCTTCACAGCAAAACTGCAGAAGCCTTACATACATCCACAGCCATTCCTACTGACCGCCTTAACTGTCATCAGTGCTACACAGAAAGCTGTGGATACACAGAGGTCAGTGAAACCAGAATACACCTGGAAGGGCTCTGAAGTCCTAGCGATGATTTCATCAGCATCAGTGGAACAGGCAATGGCATAACTGGGGTAATTCCAGTAAGTAATAGCTCACCCATGAGGGAGTTTTATCAAAAGCTGCCAACATGCAAGTAGTTCTCTTTGCAGAGAAGGCACAGAGTACGACTTTCAACAGTGTAAATGATGACAATCAATTCAGTTTAAATTAAGAAACAAGCAATGAAGAACATTAGAATTTCAGCTTTTCAAGCAACTGACAAACATGTTTAGCTTAGATGTTTACTTTCACAGGGAATACAAGCAGCCTATTATATATGGTTAGGATATATCAGCAGTGGCAGAACTTTGTTCAGGATGTTCACCTTCTTTGTGAACTACTGCAGTCACTGAAGAAAGCAGTTGTGAGTAAAAAGCTTTTAGATACCTCTGGCAGCTGTCTTGCACAGCACTAGACCAATCACATCTCCCCCACAATGGGATCACAACATGTCCTTTTTCAGGACACTTTTTTTTTTTTTTCCCCATACCATAGAATCACCCAATAGTTTGAGTTGGAAGGGACCTTTAAAGCCTATCTAGTCCAACCCCCCTCCCTGCAGTGAGCAGGAACATCTTTAGCTGCATCACATTGCTCAGACCCCATCCAACCTGACCTTGAA